GGCAAGACTGCCAGTGTGTCCTTCTAGACAGATGAGAATCTTCTTGTTTTAGAACTATACAAGGGGAGATTTTACAGCCTCTAGGGAAAGTGTACCAATATTTAGTGCCTAACACTCAAGAATTTTATACATATTTATATTCACTTCTCTAGTTTTTTTCTAAAATGAAATTAATTATCTTTTTCCTAAAAGTTTCTTCCCCCTTTCCTCCCATTTTTTGTTTTCCTTCTCCCCTTTCACTTTTGCATTTTTTCTCTCTTTTTCTTCCAAATGTTTAGTACCTTATTATATACAAGCCACTCTTTAGCTGTTTTCCAGTTCCCAACATTTTTAAGGTAGTCTTAGTTTATATTATGGTTTTCATTTTAATGTTCTCTGAATGCAAGGTCATTTATGTTGTAGAACCCACATTTAGACAAAAAGCTGAGATTATTTCTTTTTTTGGTTGCCAATTTTTAAATTAACCAATCATGTGTTTTTGTTTTTATTTTAAAAATAAAAGCATTTCTTATTTACAATAGTTTTAGGTTAACAGCGAAACAGAGTGGAAAGTACAGAGAGTTCCCATGTACCCTCTGTCCTCACATGTGTATAACCTCTCTTCTTAACATCTTTCACCAAAGTAGTACATTTGTTATGACTGATAAAGCTTCGTTAATGTGTCATTATCACCCAAAGTCCATAGTTTACATTAGGGTTCACTCTTGGACAAATTTATAATGACATGTATACATCACTGTAGCATCACACAGACTAGTTTCACTGCCTTAAAAGTCCTCTGTACTTTCTCTGTTCACGCCTGCCTTCCCCCCACTCCCTGGTAACCACTGATCTTTTTACTCTTTCTCTAGTTTTGCCTTTTCTAGAATGTCATATAGTTAGAATTATACAGTATATATAACCTTTTCAGACAGGCTTCTTTCAACTTAGTAGTATGTATGTAATTTTCCTCCATGTCTCTTCATGGCTTGATAGCTCATTTCTTTTTAGCATTGTATTCCATTGTCCGGTCATACCACAGTTTATTTATCTATTCACTTACTGAAGCACATCATGACTGCTTCTAAGTTTTGGCAATTATGAATAAAGCTACTATAAGTATCTATATGTGGGTTTTTTTTTTTAGACACTTCTTAGAAGTCAATATATGTGGGTTTTTATGTGGATGTAAGTTTTCAGCTTCTTAGGGTAAATAACAAGGAGTGCAGTTGCTGGATTGTATGGTAAGAGTATGCTCAATTTGTAAAAAAAGGCCAAAGTGTCTTTCAAAGTGGCTGTACCATTTTGTATTTCCACCAGCAATGAAGGAGAGCTCCTGTTGTTCTACTTGCTTACCAGCATTTGGTGTTGTCGGTCTTCTGGATTTTGACCATTCTAATAGGCGTGTAGTGTTATTTTATTGTTTTAATTTGCATTTCCCTGATGACATATGATGTGGAGCATCTTTTCATATGCCTATTTGCCATTTGTATATCTTCTTTGGTGAGGTGTCTGTTAAGGTCTTTGACCCATTTTTTAATTGGATTATTTATTTTGTTGTTATTGAGTTTTAAGAGTTCTTTGTGTAGAACTCTATTTTTAGAAAGCAGTCTTTTACTAGATATGTCTTTTGCAAATATGTGTTTTTATTTTTATTTATTTATTTATTTATTTATTTATTTTTTGAGACAGAGTTTCGCTTTGTTGCCTAGGCTAGAGTGAGTGCCATGGCGTCAGCCTAGCTCACAGCAACCTCAATCTCCTGGGCTCAAGGGATCCTTCTGTCTCAGCCTCCCAAGTAGCTGGGACTACAGGCATGAGCCACCATGCCCGGCTAATTTTTTCTATATATATTAGTTGGCCAATTAGTTTCTTTCTATTTATAGTAGAGACGGGGTCTCGCTCTTGCTCAGGCTGGTTTTGAACTCCTGACCTCGAGCAATCCACCCGCCTCGGCCTCCCAGAGAGCTAGGATTACAGGCGTGAGCCACCGCGCCCGGCCCAAATATGTGTTTTTAAATAAAATGTCTGATTATACCAGTACTACATGTTCAGTGATGAAAATTTGAAAAAATTCACTAAAGAACAAATAAGAAAATAGAAATCATCTATATACCTATCACCCAGAAATAACAACAGTTATTCTGTTTTTTTTTTTATATATACCTATTTTTTGGCACATATACTTAGTATATTTGTGTAAGACCAATACTTCAATGGGACTTTCATAACCCTTGTTTCAAGTATTTACACAGTAAACATTTTTCCTAGTATCAAGGAGTAACTACATTTGTAAATCAATAATCTCAAGGTTATCCCAACTCACTTTTTATTCAGTTTCAATAAATCTTAATTTCTTCTTATAACTCAAATGCCTCAATGTCAGATAAGTAACATATGTTTATGCAGAGAGAGGGTGTAGGGATTATAAAAACTAGAGTCTGCAGATTCCACCTAATGGCATTCAAATTAAAAATTTTTAAAATCACCATGTTGGCCAAACATAATGCATCTTAAGTTTCTGGCCTCCTCTGCTCTCTTCTTTCCTAAAAAGCCAATATTTCAGCCCAAGATGGAGGCAATGAAGTCAATTTCCTGTGTCCTGCCATATATCTACCTACACCCCAGTATACCATACCTATTTTGGGATAAATTTGGGACAACATTTCTCTTTAGTTTACTTTTCAACAAATCCTTACTTCCAATAGTCTTTTCTTTGTGAAAAAAAGGTTATTATTTATGAGTATATTGTACTTTCTAGTTTTTTATTCACACCCATACTTTGTTTTAATTCGCTATTGTTTTATCTTAGACTAAAAGGATTGCAGATTCAGAGTCTAGATCAGGAAGGAACTTAGAGAGTGTGATCTTCAGCATTTATAAAACAGATTAATTCAATAGTGCAAGGTTGTACTGTCAGTCTGGGTTTGGTCAGGAAAATAGTCATGGTATGTATTGTATCCATAAGAAATTTTGTATAGAAATTTGGGCTTACACAAATGTGGGGGAAGTTGGAAAAGTGAAGATCTGTGGTAGGAGAGACAGAGAAACAATCTGAAGTACTGGAGCAGGAGAAGAAAGCCATGTGTATGTTGCAGTGAAGAGGTCTGGACACCTTCCAAAAATAATGGCCTCTGCTTGCTTCCAACGCCTAAATCTTAGGCAAGTTCCTCTCACTAGCAGACTGTCACATGAAGTTATAAAGAAGGGGATTTTAAGGACTGTGGCTCCCATGCCTTAAAAGGGACTAGTAGTGATGTTACGTATCAATAGTAAATCTGGCACAGTTGTATACCTGATTCATGCACCCATTCATTCTGTCACTCTTTCCTTTCTTGATCTTTTCCTAGACCCTACTATATGTATGTCTCCATTGGTCATGTGACTCCAGCAACTCTGGAGTCTTTATGTCTTTACTATTTCGTGGAATTATTTTAGATTGCTTCCTATAGCTAAAGACATTTTTCTAAGAATTATTTAAAAATAACACTAATTTTACTCATACCTATTTCTTTAACTTTAAACCTGAGGTAGGTTCACTCTTTAAACATTGCTTATAACTTATTACTCACTTGAACAAAGCCCCAGATTGTTAGAGCTACAAATATTAAGTCATCAATAATTTAGATTCCCAAGTTTAGTAAAGAACTATATAAATAATGACTGTATGAATAATTATTCTGACCCAGTGAGAAGTCTCAATATTTACATTTGCTGAGACTAAAGTCCAGAATGTGATTGCAGAATAGAATCTGTTTTCCACACTGATAGAAGAAATGATGATGTAGCATTTACCTGCTGGCCTGAAGCCAGGGAGCTAACCTCTAGTCTATCCATGGTTAAAATTACCCATAAGTAAAAACCCTTATGTACCTCCCTCTACCCATTCACCTATAGATTTTTTTAGATTTAAAAATCTTCCATGGCCAAGCAGATGATGAATAATTGAAATACAATTCAATATAGTATTTTTACTAATGATTGTTCATTGCTTTCCAAACGAGTGCATTAGAAAAACTTGGCAGATTTAGATATACATTTTTTGAATCCTAAGTGGTTGAGAAATATGATTTAGTTTACAGAGCAGTTCATTTGTATGAATAATATTATTTTGGAGCATATTCTTCCATTTAGCAGAAAGATGTATACAATTAAATAGTTGAGGAACACGATCAAAATTATTTGTGAACTGAATGAATTTTTATTGCTAACAGTTTTAGTCATGACTGAAATATAAATCATGTACATATTAATGATTTATTTATATCTTGATTTTTTTGGTCAATAATTCTTCAAGTTAGATTAGTTTGATGATGTGGAATTAAATGCCAGCAGCTCAAAATATGTAATTATTATTATTATTTTTTTTTGAGGCAGAGTCTCACTCTGTTGCCTTGGCTAGAGTGCCGTGGTGTCAGCCTAGTTCACAGCAACCTCAAACTCCTGGACTCAAGCAATCCTTCTGCCTCAGCCTCCCCAAGTAGCTAGGGCTACAGGCATGTGCCACCATGCCCAGCTAATTTTTTCTATGTATTTTTAGTTGGCCAATTAATTTCTTTCTATTTTTAGTAGAGATGGGGTTTCGCTCTTGCTCAGGCTGGTTTCGAACCCCTGACCTTGAGCAATCCACCCGCCTTGGCCTCCCAGAGTGCTAGGATTACAGGTGTGAGCCACTGTGCCTGGCCTGTAATTATTTATATTGGGCCTCCATACAAAAAATTTGGCATGTTAGGATGATACCCGATGATGTTAGTTGTAAGATAACAACAGTAAGTAAGTAGATGATACTAACTGGTCCACTAGTTCTTGTAAGATAGTTAAGTAAACAAAAACATTTTTTTCTAAACATCTCAAGCAAGTTGAATGTTAGATGCAAGACTAGTAGTGAATTCAGAATTATATTCAAAGTGCAATGTGAGCTTATCATATTTAGTAAAGATGTTAAGACTTCATATGCTGTTTACACAGAGCAGAAAGCATACAGCTTATTCAGTGATACATGAAAATTTCTACCTTAACAGGTAAATATTGGGAAGATGGATTCACCCATTGAAAAGTGGAACCTAATAATTGGCAACTTGGCTTTAAAACAGGTAAGTGGCACACGTTGTTTTTTTAACAGATACTGAATTTAAAGATCTTGGGTGTTACCAGTAAGATTGGTATAATTTTAGTACTATGAGTCTATCATTTAATTGTTTCAGGAAATACCTAAATGATATTTAATACCCTGAAAAAACTAACGGAATAAATGGATATCCATGACCTTTGAAATCTATTCTTTTTCTAGAAACTGATTAAGTTATTCTAAATAGGAAAAATATATAATATACAAAATATGGGGAAAAATAAAAAATGTTTTCTATCATAAGTATATGATAGGCTGGGCACTGTGGCTCACGCCTATAATCCTAGCACTGTGAGAGGCTGAGGCAGGAGGATTACTTGAGGTTAGGTGTTTGAGACCAGTCTGAGCAAGAGCAAGACCCAGCTGGGCATGGTGGCACATGCGTCTGTAGCCCCAGCTACTTGGGAGACTGAGGCAGGAGGACTATTTGAGCCCAGGAGTTGGAAATTACAGTGAACTATGATGAGCTACTGCACTCTAGCTGGGGCAACAGAGTGAGACTCTGTCTCAAAAAAAGTTAATGATAGAGCCAGAGTTTGTGTTAGTATCTGTATAAATAAATATTTAATACTTCATTGTTTAAGTGTTATTTTTCTACTTTTTAAAAAGTAAATTATGTGTTTAATTAAACTGAGCTCTATTTTATATATTATGGTCAGACATTTGTTTAACTTGAGTTTTCCTTGGTTTACTAATGTTACTAGTGTTAATATAAACAAATACATTAAATTACCAATTACATATGCACTAAACCATGGATTGTGTGTAATCTACAGCTCTTTCTAATCTCAATTATCTCTTCTTCCTCTCCAATAACCCTCTCCTATCTACAAGGCAGCAGACTACAGCTACCCCTAGTAATTCTCTAGCTAGTGTGAGCTTAGGGAATGCACACTAATTTTGATGTTAGTTCAACTAGGACATAATATTGAGAACATGGTTGAAGGAACATAATATCATGCAATGCATTTCAAGGACAAAGAAATAAAGGAATTTTTTAAATACCTGTGCAACTGCTTCTAAGATCACAGATTTGGAAATAAGAAAATCTGGGATCTAACCTTAGCTCTAATATTAACCAGCTGTATAACCTTTGTTAATTTACTTAATCTTTCTGGGTTTCACTTTCCTCTTTTAAATCACAGCAACCCATTAGAGATGTCTAAGATTCTTTACAGCTTGAAATTGTAAGAGTAATAATCAAAATATTTAACAAACCATAGGGTACTATACATAATGAATAAAAATAAAAGTTTGAAAACATACTCCATTTTATTCTTTAAATACTATAAACTCTTAAAAAGTAATATCAATTGTAGTATAAATTATTTATCAAATCATTCTAATAGTAATCATCTCAGCTTTTAATTTTTCCTCTAACTTTTAGTCTTTACTCTTCCCTTATCATCGTCTCTCCCTGCAACTGTTGGTCATTATGGGAGCCAGACATGGCTGAGGATTCATTTATCCTGCTTGCCATAGCCCAAGGCATGTGTCTTTATATGCCTCACTCCACCAAGGATGTATGATGAACAGGGAACCCCAAGCAGGCCCATCAGGACACAGTTGGTGCCAGCTAGTGAGGCAGCCATTGGTTGGAGCCCAGTTAGCAGAAGACAAAAGCAAGATGAAAAGAAGCTGGAAGGGTGGTGTTGGGCTCTGGGGAGAGGCTATTCTCTCCCTGAGGCTTCATCTGCTAAAGCTTGTGAGGGAGTAGATGAGTGTGTGTGTTGGGGGAAGGGGCTGGAATAGGCTCCTCTGCCTGGAGACTGACCACGGAGATAGAGGGGGAAGGATAGAGGAGGCTTATGCTCTCACTGGGGGTATGCTCTGCTGGCTGCTCTGCTGGCTGTTAAATGGGGTCCCAGGCAGGTTACCTGTCACAGATTTCCTCATGATTACACAGAGCAGCAACATCAACCAGTGCATCAGTAGTCAAATAAAGCAAAGTCCTGGTCCCATCTGAGGACCATTACCCTACAGGAGGGATGTGTCCTGTACCAACGTCTTTTCAGGCCTATGGCTCCTATTAACTCCCCAGCTATGACTTCGACCCAAACTTTGCTTCCTCTTGGGTTCAGTTAGTCATTTTTCAATGAGTCATACAGTATAGGACTTCATCATCTCAGCTGTGTGCTTCGCCTTCCTCAGAAGTAGATAGATATATACATTTACACATACATACATACATACCAGGATGTCTGTAGCAGGCTCTCTAGCTCTGTGTGCAAGTGTCAATCCTGAAAAGACTTGGAATCACAGTGCTAGAATTTATACTATAAATTAATTTTATTGCTTGTAAATATTATCATTTTATTTATTAGCCAGTATGAAAATACTGAAATATTTCAACAACTGCTGCAGCTATAATGGTGCTTATAGCATGACTCTCAGCTCCAAATCTATAGGTGATATCAACAGGACCTATTAATATAATACAAGGTCATGGGGCTGCAATCTGGAATATCCGGACTCTTTAGTCCTGGCTTTTCTATTAATTTACTATGTGACAAGGTCAGACTATAGGAGTTTTTCAGTTGGAGCCCTGGCTTGTAGTATATAGATTGACTTCAGAGAGTCTGTGAACACCAAGAAATTCTACTCGAAATACTGAGTGCCTCTGTGTTTTTCTAGAGAAAAGAATCTCTATTATATAGAGTTTTTTACCAGATTGTCAAAGGAGTTCATGACACAAACAGCTAAGAATCCATGGAATAGATGATGGATGCCTTAGGATTTCTTTTAGTTCTGACATTCTGTTAACCTGAGTCTCAGGCTTGCAGTCTGTGTGACTTTTCTTAGTTGCAGGTTTTTGAGTGTTGCTTTGTGTTGGCACTGTTGGAAGTACTTTATTTAGATAATTTAAATCTCAAAGTGTGATATTATTATTGTCAGTTTAAAGATTAGGAATTGAAATTTCCATAGCACCAATCACAATTGTGATTATTTATTTTACAGTCATTTTTGAATGTCTGTCTCTCCCACTGACCAAGAGCCCTCTGAGAGCAAGGAATAAATCTTTTTTGGCACTGTTGTAGCATAATGTCAAGCACAGGACATTGTACATAGTGGAATCTATATAAATATTCATCGAATGAATGAATTTAAATAACTTGCTATGAGATTAAGTGGTAAGAGCCAGGAGTCAAACTCCTATCATTCGATTATCAAATCCAATCTCTTGCCAACACTGCCTCTAAAGTCAGACTTCAGATATGTGGATTGAGTACTTTTCAGTTTGAAGGTGGTATTTTCTTAGATGATCTTTGGATTACACCCTCGACATCACTTGGGGTGCTTGTTAAAAATAGGTTCCCAGACCCCATTCCATACCTGTTGTCACCACATCAGGGCAGTTTGAGAACCCACACTCTTAGGGAATATTAAAATTAAAATATAGTATTAATAGCTACTCTAAAAGATAATGTAGCTACTCTAAAGATAATGTAGCTCAATTGCCATATGCAATATTTTTTCTCACTTTTTTTTTCAGATGAGGAATCAGTGAAAGAATTTTCTCACTTTTTATATGTAATTTTTACATAATCAAATTTTTAAAATATGTTTTTAAAATTAATAATTCAGTTGGATTTTGTAAATATTTTTTTAGGTTCAGGCAACAGTAGTTGGTTTCCTAGCAGCTGTGGCGGCAATTATATTGGGCTGGATTCCAGAGGGAAAATACTACCTTGATCATTCCATACTTTTGTGCTCTAGCAGTGTAGCAACTGCCTTCATTGCATCTCTTCTGCAGGGTAAGTGAATTTATAAATGTCTACTCTATAGTCTTGGACTTTTGAAGTATTTATTTGTGAAGTTGATTTTTATCTACTTTATGACACTTGTTACGAAAACAGCAGAAAAATGTTATCTACAAACTTTAAAAACATTTTCATTACTCCAGATATATTTATATTTCATTATTTATAAAACTTAGTGTAGAATGGGCTTTTCTGAGATTGTCTCCTGACCTTTGATACTCTGGTATAGTTCCCCCAAAAGATCAGGAAAAAATAGCCCAGACATTCATTTGTTTCTGTAAATTCAATTAATTGAGAAACTCCTTTCTGGAAACCATGCAGGGGATTTACTGGCTTGTCACTTGAGTAACAACAAGTGTTCCAGGAATTCTGAGTTTCAAAAGGAGTCCCTCTGTTAAAATGGTTTTTTTTTTAAGTTTCAGATTCCAAAGATAATTTCTTCCCTATTTCTGTGGCAATATAAATATAACCTTTTGCTCACACAGCATATTGTTGGCCATAGAATTTTAAAGAGCCAGAAGGTTTTAAAAATTAACTACATTAGAACTTTTTAGTGGAGCTAGCTTTCTTTATATTTATTTATTAATATGAACTTCATACTAGAGAACTAGCTTTTTATGGAATACCAATCATAAAGAGTTGTTTATTTTTATTTTACAATTGCTATCTTCTCTCCCTTATATCACCAGCAAAGTTAAAAATGGAAGATTGTCATATAAGTTAATCATACAAAGTAGCTAGCTTTTTCTGGTTAGATTCTGGGAATTTAGGGAATCTTATTAAAATTAAGACCTGACTTCCAAAGAATTTTGATTTAGTACTTAAATTACATCAGGGATAGTTTCTGGTCTTTATATAGAATTGAGTGGAGTTCACCCTGGCCAAAGCAGAGTGAAGTTAAGCTACTGGAAAATTAAATTTCCAGTAAAAAAAAAAAAAGAAAGAAAGAAAAGTTTTGGCTTCAGTACACTATTTCTTTAGGCTCATTTGCTTCTGTTTTCTTTCTGATTTTGTTTCATTTAGAAAGTGTTGTTTAAAATTTTTCAGTCTAACAGGTATGTGAAATGCCTAGGTTTTTCAAAACTATCAACAATTCAGATTTTTAAAATGAATTTGTTTAAAACGTCTTACTTTGTATAATCCATGTTCTAATTTTATGACAACCTGACCTTTATAACCACCTTAATGTGTAAAGCAGATACTATTAACCATATTTCATAGGTAAAAATCTGACCCAGACAGGTAAAGGTGACTTGTCCAATACCTTCAGCTTGTTAACGGCAGACTCAGAATTAAAACTCAAGTTTCCTGACTCCCAGCTCTTTCCACTGGACCACAATACAAGTGAAATATTTGTTTTAGCTGAATGGATACAGATGGCACTGCGTATTAGAGAATTTCCCATTTGGATCTTTAAATGTTTTGGAAAAAGAACTCTATACAATCACATCTTGTTTGATTACTGAATAATTTTTTTTTTTTTTTTTTTGGCAAGAGTCTCCTTTGTTGCCCAGGCTAGAGTGAGTGCCGTGGTGTCAGCCTAACTCACAGCAACCTCAAACTCCTGGGCTCAAGGGATCCTGCTGCCTCAGCCTCCCGAGTAGCTGGGACTACAGGCATGCGCCACCATGCCCGGCTAATTTTTCCTATATATTAGTTGACCAATTAATTTCTTTCTATTTATAGTAGAGACGGAGTCTTGCTCTCGCTTAGGCTGGTTTGAACTCCTGACCTAGAGCAATCCTCCCGCCTTGGCCTCCCAGAGTGCTAGGATTACAGGCGTGAGCCACCGTGCCCAGCCTGATTACTGAATAATATTTTTAAAACTTTTCTGCCATTGCTCTTTTTTTCTTTTTACAATGATATTATGGGAAAGGTAAGTCTAGTGATTGAAAAAGATTCTAGAATATTAAGATGTGAGGTATTGTCTGATACAAGACAAAAATTCTACTTTTAAATATTTTGGCTTTATGCAATAGAGTAAAAAACACTGAGCGAAAGTCACTTACAAGCTATGTGTGACCTTAGGCAAGAATTTAAACCCTACTGCCTAGGACCTCATTTTTATTATCTATAAAATAAATGTGTTGGAATAAAAACATTTAGAGTCATTTTTACTCTAAAAATGCAGTGAGATTCTGTTTATTTTTTCCCATAGCCATATTTAGGATTTCCATATTGATTTATGGTTAGGACATAAATAAACTAAATATTTAAAATTTTCTCTGTACTGCATCCTCTTAATGAATGTGTTGGCATGGGAAAATCTATATAACTGGGTGCGCTTATATTGTACCATTTTCTCCCATTTGTATGATTCAAGAAAATAAGGATGCAAAAGTATTAAGTACAAAGTCAACCTTTTCATTTTTTGTTCTCTTCTTGTAGGTTTATAGACAGAAAATTTGGGTTTAAAGAATATCTTTTACAAAGACTATTTTTCGTGGCCTTCAGTGTTTAAAATTTAATTATGTCCTGCTTCTTAATACTCTTTTAAATAATAAAATGAAGCAAGTATTTTTAGCTACCATATGTGAACAAATCTGCTTTTGTTGGTCTTCTTCCAAGTTGCTATGCATATAAATATGACTCACCTTTTTTTTTTTTATGTTTTGATACTTTATTTGAGGTTTAAAATTAAAATCTTTGGATTTGATACACACAAATACATTACATAGAAGATACATGTCACTAAATTTGAAATTTTGGCTTTAATATTATTTTACTAGCTTTTGGGTCTCTGGATGCAACATTTAACTTCCTAAGTTTTCTGTGATCTGTACTTGTAATTTATTGAAAGGCATTTGCCAAAGCCTCAGGGTAAAGTGTTTTGTTTGCTTTAGTCATCTTATCTAAGTAATCTAACTGGAACTGAAATGCTATTTGTCTATCCTACATATTTGATGTTTGGGGGATTGATTTCTTTAAATAATAGCATAAAAAGCAATGAACATTCTTTCTTCTAGGAATAATAATGGTTGGAGTTATCGTTGGTTCAAAGAAGACTGGTATAAATCCTGATAATGTTGCTACACCCATTGCTGCTAGTTTTGGCGACCTTATAACTCTTGCCATATTGGCTTGGATAAGTCAGGGTTTGTACTCTTGTCTTGGTAAGTTGACTTGAAACTAAATATTATGTGTTATTCAGAGTCTTTTAAAATAAATATTGTTGTAGCAATGCCATGAATCCATGGTGATCTTCAACTGTATTAGAACTGTTATTGAGACTGATTAGAATAATAACTATCATTTATTGTATACCTACTATGTGTTGTGGTTCTCACATATTTTTTCTCTTCTTTTAGAGTTTAAAACTCTATAAGAAAAAAATTGACTCTAATTTTAGATGAGAAAACTGAGGATCATAGAAGTTATGTATATTACCCAAGTTTACACAACTACTAGTGAAAAGGTTGAACACAGATCTGTAATACTCTATAATTTCTGCCCTTTTCCTCTGTAGCCAGCTAGGAGTCAACCTAGAGTATTCTGTTATGTGTACTGAACTAACTTCTCAGAATATAAGGTTATTGTGGCACTTGAAATTTCCTAGTGGGATATTTTTTCCCCATCAGATACCACACCAATTAGTAGCCTCTTGGCAGTTAACAAAAAGGAAAAAAGTCACCATGAAAATTAGCCTGAATGCTGTGTGAAGTTGGTATCATATTATATATGTAATTCCTAATAAATACTGATAGAGTGTTTATAGAATTTAATGAATTGTTGTAATGGAAATTTGTACTCTGAGACTACTGTCAATGGTAAATGAATATGATATTTGAGCAATGGTTAAATGTTAAAAGTTGGTTGTGGTTTCTTTCTTTTAATTTTTTAAATTTTTATTTATTTATTTATTTATTTTAAAGATGCCAAACTAAAAAAAACAAAGAAAACAGAAACCCAAAGTAACACAAGAAAAAAAAAGATAGTTTATAAGCCAAACCAGAGGCAAACATTTATTCATATACCCCACATATTTTCATGAGTTCAATACAGATTTATAGTACACTTTAAAATAAATTTAAAGTACATGTATTTTTCAAAAAAGTAAGGGCCTCAGACTTATGTTCTTGAAATAAAGAAAGGGTTTTAATCTACCAAAGGCAATAATTTTCTATGACTTTCAGAGATATCAAGGGAAGCTTCATTTAGTATATAAAATTGCCTTAAGTATATAGTGAGTGGCATAAAAACAGTATTTAATAAGACTATCAAGTCTGCTTAAGGAGAATTTTTCTCATTTAGAAGATAAAGATGCATCACTTAAAGTAAGGTATAAGATGATAAACGATCAATGGCCTAAGTATAAGATCTTGTTCCCAAAGGTCTTGGCTTTATGTTGTTGTCGTGCAGTATACAAGGAATAATATATGTTCAAGTATATTCAGGGTAATGCTCAGTTCCCTTCCCTCCCACTTAATAAAGCACAGAAAGTGAAGAGTTACATTATTAGAGGGATAATCTTAAATCTGTTCTAATTTAGATTGTTGGGGTGATAAAAATTGGTTATACGTTTTTCCTTCTCTAAACTATTGTACAATTTAGAAAAAGATGCTAAAGTCAGGGATTGAAATATTAGCTTATGGCTACTATTAGGAAATGTGGCTTAATATTCTTCTATGGTGTTAAATACACCCATCCACTCACAGGCAGACAGGTGGACAACTTGTAGTGCTTACCCCATAGGAATAGGCTGTTAACTGCATTGGGGAAAGGAGACTGTCATCAAAAGGCTGGGTCCCCAGAGAGAAAGCCAGGAAGGACATGATTAGGTATGAGTTAGTGCCCTGTATCCTCATCTTACCAATTAGATAAGTCTCTCCCACTTCGAGGAGGAGGTTAGAGAGAAGAAAAGAAGAATAGAAGAGGATGAGGGTTTCTTCCTAATATTAATAAGAGAACATAGAGGGTTAACATAGGGATGAAGGGTTAATAGTGGTTCTAGGATGAGTTCCCCTACATAGAAAAGAAAGGTATATTATTTGCAGACTTGAGTATTTAAATTACCATCAAGTCATTTGTAACATATTTCTCAGCTGCTTGCTAAATACCAGGTGTCTCCTCAGTTAAAAAGAAAGAAAATGCCATTGAAGAATGTTATCATAATAAATATGACAATTGTTATAATGATACAGACTAAGTACTATGAGCTTCCAGAAGACAAAACAGCTGTTGAGGAAAATAATGTGTGCTGACTTTTTAAATTTTATTTTTTAAATTATACAAGTGATAAACTCTCCTTATAAAGACTTGATCATAATATGTTACCATCCAAAGTTTTCAATATTTTGAATGTTATATGATGGTGCTTTAATAGTTCAACTGGATCAAGAAGTAAAAAAGTAAAATGGAATGTTACTATCATAGACCATAATTTTGAAAAATGTTATTAAATATTGCTTAGGATTTTCTAGGCCTTTACTTGTCTTATAAAAGTTGGCTCAAAGTAATTCCAGATGAATTAATTAAAATAGGATCTTTTATATTTCATCTGTATCATTGATTCCCCTAAGGATATTTTTTACTGGGTTACAGATTGATTCTACAGTTAATTTAACGGCTAAAAGTGCTTCAGGAGTGCCAGTGTGGGTGCTAACGTGTCTGCACTGTGAACACTAGGGGGCCTCATAAGATCAGCAGTTGGATGCCTTGTATTTTCATTCTGAATACAAAGATTATGAGGAGGCATATTTAAATGCCTCCTCATTCATCCTGCTGAGGAAGGATCCAGCAGGAAGACCCCATTCATCCTGCTGAGAAGCCTGGCTCTTGGAAACAAGGTTTAATTCCTGAACTATTTATATTTAATATATTGAAAACACTTTGAAGTCTTCAGAGATAAAAAGAGAATGTCAAAGATGTCATGGTAGCTATAGGCTTTGGTTATAGAGACTATGTGTTATATGTCTCTCAAAGAACTGGACATTAAGAAAAGTCTCATGGGGTCAATTCATCAAGAAGATAAAACAATTGTAAATATATATGCACACCTTGGAGCCCCTAAATATATGAAGCAATTATTAACAGATCAGAAGGGAGAAATAGACAGTAATACAATAATAGTAGGGGACTTTAATACCCCACTTTCAACAATGGCTAGATCATCCAGACAGAAAATCAATAAGGAAACATACGGCTTGAATTACACTTTAAACCAAATGGATGTAACAGATATATACAAAATATTTTATCAAACAGCAGCAGGATATACATTCTTCTCAAGCACACATGGAACATTGTCCAGAATATATCATGTTAGGCTACAAAATAAGTCTTAACAGAGAGGACTTTAAGAAGATTGAAGAAGATTGGAATCTAAGAAGACTGAAATCATATCAACTATCTTTTCTAACTACAGTGGCATGAAACTAGAAATCAATAATGGGAAGAAAACTAGAAAGTTCACTAATATATGGAAATTAAACAACACACTCCTGAACAACCAATGGGTCAAAGAAGAAATCCAAAGGGAAATTTAAAAATGTCTTGAGATAAACAAAAATGTAAACACAATATACCAAAACCTAAGGGATGCAAAAAATATCAGTCCTAACAGGGAAGTGGATAGTGATAAGTGCGTACATTTAGAAGGAAGAAAGATCTCAAATAAACAACCCAACCTAACACCTCAAAGAACTAGAAAAATAAGAATAAATAACCAAAAGTTAGCATAAGGAAGGAAATAATAAAGATCAGAGCAGGAATAAATCAAATAGAACATAGAAGAACTAAAGTATGTCAACAAAACTAAGAGTTGGTTTTATGAAAAAATAAAACTGATAAAGCCTTAGACTAAGAAAAGAGAGAAGACTCAAATAAAATCAGAAATGAAAGTGGAGACATTACAATGGATGCCTCAGAAATAAAAAAGGATTATAAAGCACTATTATGAACAATTTTATGCCATATACCTACCAAGATTGAATCAGGAAGAAATAGAAAGCATGAACAGACCAATAACAAATACAAAGACTGAAGTAGTAATTAAAAACCTCACAATAAAGAAAAGCCCAGCACCAGATGGCTGCAAGGCTAAATTCTACCAAACGTTCAAAAAAATTAGTACCAATCCTTCTTAAACTCTTCCAAAAGAATAGAACTAGAGGGAACACTTCCAAACTCATTTTCTGAGGCCAGCATCACCCTGATACCAAAGCCAGACAAAGACATCACAAGAAAAGAAAACTATAGGCCAATATCTCTGATGAACATAGCTATAAAAATTCTCAGTAAAATACTAGCAAACTGAATTCAACAATATATCAAAAATATTATATATCATGACTATGTGGGCTTTATCCCTGGGAGGCAAGGCTGGTGTAACATGTACAAATCAAGGGGCAGGGTGTGAGAGAAGTGAGGGAAGAAAAACTACCAGTAGATATAATGTGTACTATTCAGGTAACAAGTACACTAAAAACCCAGATGTCACTGCTATACAATTCACCCACGTAACCAAAAACCACTTATACCACTATAACTATTGGAAAAAACCCCAACAAAATATAGAGCACAGCTTAAACTAAAAGTAAAAAAAATACATGCAGATCAATCAGTGTGATACACCACAGTGTGATAAAGAAAATACCTAGGAATAAATTTAATCAAGGAGATAAAATAACTCTACAATAAAACTATAAAACATTAATGAAAGAAGATGAAGAGGACAAAAATAAATGGAAAGATATCTGACATTCATCATTGGAAGAATTAGTATTGTTAAAATGTTCATGCTACTCAAAGCAATATATGGTTCAATGCAATCTCTGTCAAAATTGTAGTGACATTTTTTATAGAAAAAATAAAAAGAATCCTAAATTTCATGTGGAACTACAAAAGACCCCAAATAGCCAAAGCAATCTTGAGAAAGAAAAAGAAAGTTGGAGGCATCACATTTCCTGATTTCAAATTATATCACAAACCCATAGTAATTAAAACAGTATTGTACTGGCATAAAAATAGACACATAGATTAATGGAGCAGAATAGAGAGCCCAGAAGTAAAACCAAGCATATACAGTCAACTAATTTTTAGCAAGGGCACCAGGAAGACACAATGAAGAAGAAAGAATACTCTCTTCAATAAATGGTGTTGGGAAAACTGGATA